TTGACAGATTACCAAATTTGTTTAATGAGCGATCAAGATTTAAATAGTTTTGATTGGGAAAAAGATAACGATGACGGGGTATTAAATGATGGTAATAAGATGTGTGTTGAATTTGAAGTTAAGAAAAGTCGAGAAGACCATGAGGATTTTATAGTTTTTAACGGCGGGTTTAACGTATGCTATAATTTCAAATTAATTATTAATATATAAATAATGTTTTGCGTATTAATTGAACATATACATAATTCAGATTCCCTTGCCAAAGATTATCAAATCAGAAATTGAAAAATCTTATAATGATGAGCTTTATCCAAAAGGTAAGTTTAAAATTTATTTATTTTTTTTTTATTTTAAATTATTTTACATTATTTTATCTTATTTATTTTTTTTTGCTTTAAAAATCTAAATTTATTAAAAAAATTTTTAAAAAATAGTTGTCGAGTCCATTTCATATCAAGCTTTTATTACACAAAACATAATTCCACCCTCGAATGCCATGAAACTAGGTACTGCCACTATAAAGAAAGGAGACTTCAATAAAGAATTTATGAATCGATGGGAAAAATGTTCTGTGAGAATTGATCGTTCAACTATGGACATGCAAAAGCTTGAGTTACTTATAAATTATGGATTAAATATGGATTATTTGAAGTACCAATTAAATCAATATCATGATGCATTGAAAGAAGCCAATAAAGAATTGGAATCTAAGAAAGAAAATGAAAGGCTTACTATTCAAGAAGATGCCAAAACTTTAAAAAAGTTAGCTTATAATAAACTTAAAGAATTATATGGGTAAATTTATTTTTTATCATATGTTCATATGTGGTGTTTTTTGTTTAAATTATTAATATATTTTAGACGGCTTGAATCAAATGAAGAATGCAATGAAAAACAAAAAGAACAAGAAATGAATAAAGGTAATAAGCTATTTTCGTTCAAATCTAACTTTTATTTTATTTTTGATTTATTTTATAATTTGAATTTTTCAATTAGATATTGAGATCGAAAAATTCTTTTCAAAGTATTCAGATTTAAAAGTCAAATTCGACGCAGCGTTAATGATTAAACCTAATGAATGGCAGATTTTAAAGTTTAAATTTATTTATGGGTCATTATTAATTAAAAAGGTTCAAACACTGGCAACAAATAATGAAAAATTAGACAACAACGAAGTAAATGATGCTACTTGGTAAACAATGTATAACTTGTTAGCGAATCCTAAATTTCTTTCACATACTCAAATCTATAAGGATTATTTCAAATATCTAGGACCTAAATCATCAATGAAGCATGAACTTACTTTTAAAATAACTAATAATCAAATTAATGAATATTATAAGCAAGCAGGGTCTAGTTTCAACTCTCTTGATTCAGAAATAATTGAAAAATTATTCGATCAAGAATTGTGTCCAAATAATTCGGAACTTAGAGAAAAAATTATAAATCTTTTCCGGGATAGTTATAACCAATGGAAAGATAATACATTTTCAAGAGATATTGACAAAATTGAACCAAAATGGACAGACTATAACAAAAAAATAACGAAAAACCTAGAAACCCAACATAAAAAGTTTAAAAGTGATATCGAAAGAAATGCATTTGAGAGACTTTGTACTTTAATAGAAACTAAATTTCCTGATGGGTATGTATTGCATAAATCATATGATCTTAATGCGTTTTTAATTGCCGTATATTATCTTTATATATCTTATATTTTAACAAATTTATTCATTTTTAACAAAATTTATCATTTATGATTAGCATTTTATTTAAGATTATAGATATAAGTAATAATTCATGTTTATTTTGGAATACCCCGAGTTATACGATAAATTATGAGCTCGATACTGTCCAACCAGCAAGATTGCAAATAACTATTTACGAAACTGTGCTTGAACAAGAAGATTGTTTGAAAATTCAAGAAGATGAATTTCATGTTCCTAATCCTGAATTATCAACTCGTGCCAATGGAAAATATGGTTATTCTTTCACGATTAATCCCGAAAATGAATTAAGGTAATCATTATATGTAATTTATTATATTTATTTATTTTATAAATTAATTTAATC